TTCAGTACAAAGAATTTGAAACTATAAAAGAGGAAGAAAAAATCTAATATTTATTGGGTGAAAAGCCTAAATGTGCAATTTTGGCAGCCAAATATGTGTCCTCCTGCCACAACCTGAGGGACAGCCAGTGAAAATTGTAATGTAATGTCAATAATATTTCCTGTTTTGTTTTGGCTTTCATAGCTTGTAATGTGTCTTCTCAGTCATGTTGAGATTGGTTGACTACTATTGCTTTAATGTATTGTTATTCTCATTAATATTGTTGTTGTAGTTGCTGTTAATGGTAATCCCATTTCCACTACTACTATTATTATTGCTGTTGGTCCCACCATTTTTGTTATATGTAAACTTTGACAATGTAAGTAATTTTACTTGCCATGTCAATAAAGTCTATTGAATTGAATTGAATTGAATTGAGAGAGAGAGAGAGAGAGAGAGAGAGAAGAGAGAAGAGACAGAGAGAGAGAGAGAGAGAGACAGAGAGAGAGAGAGAAAGACAGAGAGAAGAGAGAGAGAGAGATAGAGAGAAGGGAGGGGGTAGAGATATACAGAGAGAGAGTACTAGAGACATAGAGATATAATATAGAGAGACGATACTCGCAGAGAGATATAGAGGTAGATCGCGCGGATTCTCTGTTTGTCTCTTCGATCTCCCATCGCGCCTGATCATCGCATCCATCTCCTCATCGCTCCTCTCGCCTACTCTCGCTCCGCTCTCGCCCTCGTCGCTCTCTAGCTACCGCCTCCTCTCGCTCAGCGCTTCCATCTCTCTATCTTCTCTCTCTCTCTCTCTCGCGCGTCTCTCTCCTCTCCGCTCGCGCTCTCTCGCTCGCGCAGAGCCTCTTGCTCCGCTATTTGTTCTCCTCCCTCTTGTCTTTCAAAAATGTTGTTATTCCTCTTCCTCTTGTTGTTGTAGTTTCCTGTTTAATTGTAAACCCATTCCCTACTACTATGATTATTGCTGTTTGTCCCCCCATTTTTGTTATATTGTATACTTGACAATGTCCGTACTTTTACTTGCCATGTCAATAAATTCTATTGATTTGAAATTGAATTGAATTGGAGAGGAGAGAGAGAGAGAGAGAGACAGAGATAGAGAAGCGAGATGAAATATAGCGATAGAACAGACAGAGACAGAGATAGAGAGAGAGAGAGAGGATATATCGAATGGGTAAGATAGAAGAAGAGACAATATAGAGAGAGAAGTGCGGGAGAGGAGGGAGATAGAGAGAGCGATATACAGAGGGCTTTCTCGTCCTCTCTCTCTACTCGCGCGCTAGCTCTGGTAGCTTCTCTCTCTCTCTCGCTCGTTCCTCGCTCGCCGCGCGCGTCTCGCTCCCTCTCCTTTCGCGCTCCCTCTCTCTATCTCCTCTCTCTTGCTCTCCTTTCTCTCTCTCTCTCGCGCTATCTCTCCCCTTCTCGTTCGCTCGCCTCGCTTTCTCTCTCTCTCCCTTCGTCGCTCGCTCGCGCTCGCGCTCGCGCGCTCTCTCATATCTCTGCTTTCTCTTTCGCGCGCGCGCGCTCGCGCTTCTCCTGCGTCAGCGCGCGCGCGCGCTCTGGTCTCTCGTGCGCGCGCGCGCGCTCTCGACTCGTCCCCGCGCTTTCTCTCCGCTCTCTCTCTCGCGCGCCGCGCGAGCGCGCGCGATCGCGCGCGCGTCGCTCTCGCGCGCGCGCTTTGCGGCGCGGGCGCTACTGTGCGATCGCAGCGTTCTACTTCTCGTCTCCTCGCGCTCGACGCAGCCCGCGCGCTCTCGCGCGCTCGCGGTTTCGCGTTCGTGCGCGCTCTCATATACGGTTCGTCTCTCTCCTCCCCTCTCCTCATCCTCTCTCTCTCTCTCTTCTTGTATTCTTCTCTTTCCGGCTCCTCTCCTTCTCTCCTCTGCTCTACTCCTATGCACGGGCGATATCCAGCTCGTCTCTTGCGCGCTCGCGTCGCGCAGCCGCTCTCTCGCTCTCGCGCGCGCTCGCACTCGCGTCGCTCTCCTCCTCCTTGTGTTCTCTGAATACGTGTCTCCCCCCCACTATGCTTCCCCTCTCTAGCTCTCTCCTCTCTCTCTCTCTCCCTGCTCTCTACCTTCTCTCTCTCTCTCTCTCTCGTCTACTTTCTCTCTTTCCTTCACTCCTCACTCTCTCTCTCCCTCTCTCGCTCTCGTACTCTCATCTCGCGGTCTCTCTTTCTCCTCCTCGCATCTCCGCTCGCTCTCCCTCCACCTCCTCTTTGCTCTCTCCCTCCTCTTTCTCTCTCTCGCTCTGCTCTCGCGCCGCGCGCTCTCCGCGCTCTCGCTCTCTCTCCTCTCCTCCTCCTCCTCTCCCCTCCTTTCTCCATCTTTCTCTCTTTCTATCGTTCACGAAGGCGCTCTAGCGCTCTCTCTCGCTCGCGGAGCTCTCCCCCGCAGCGCGCTACTCCTCTCGCTATGTCTCGCACCTTTCGCTCTCGCTCGCGCGCGCTTTCTCGCGGGCTCTCTCTCTCCTCCTTCTCTCTCTCCCTCGCCCTCGTATCTCTCTTCCCTCTCTTGCGCAGCGCGCGCCGCGCTCTCTCTCTCGGTATCCTCCGCTAGCTCTCTCTCTCTCTTTCTCGCTGTTCTGCCTGCGGCGCGAGAGCGGGCGCCGCGCGCTCTCTCTCTCTCGCTCCGCTCCCCGCGCTCTCGCGCGCGCCTCGCTTGCTCTCTGTGCTCGGCCGGCGCTGCTCCTTCCCGCGCCCTCTCTCTCTGTCTGCCTCTGGTGCGCGGGCCCGCGATCGCTCTCTCGTCTCTCTCCATCCCCATCCACCGCCTCGCTTCCGCTCTCCGCAGAGCGGGAGATGAGAAGAGAGAGCGCCAGGGCGCGAGAGAGAGAGAGAGAGTGAGAGAGGGAAGAGAAGGGAGAGAGAACTCTCTCTCCTCTCTCCCTCCTCTCTCTGGAGAGAAGAGCCCCTAGTGTTTTCTACACACCTACTGCACTTTGCCGCTACCTTTGCATGTTTGAAGTCGCCAGCCCTACTGACTCCCCCTTTTTCGCCTACCCAATCTTTCCACCCTTTCGAAATCCTTCTCCCCGCGAGTTGCTGAGGGGGCGGGTCTAAGTTCAAGAAATATGGTATCTGATTGGACTGATACAGATTCCGCGCCAAATATGCAAACCGGACGAATGGAAACCATGCGGCGACGAGTGACAATAGAGAGCAATAGTAATGACGTGTTTTTTTTGTAGGCACTAATTTCGTCGCCATGGTTCTTGGGCAAGCTATGGGGAGTAGAAGTGGAGGTTTGTTTTTGTAGAGTTTTTTCGATAATTTGGAGTGGTTGTGGATTAGAGAAGGATAGTAAGAATCATAAAAAAGAGTGAGGGGAAAGGGAGCGGTGGGTAGAAGGAAAGGGATGAGATTATAGGGGGTAAACTCTGTGTATAAGAGGAAGAATATGGAGGGTATTTGGCATGAGAGAAAAAAGACTGGGATGGGAGAGGTGACCGCCCTCCCCTCTTGTCTTTGATAAACACAGGCTTAGGAGAGCATATACGTTTCTGTTCTATGAGATAATCTTAATCAGCTAACGTCACTTTTTGTGAATTATGAAACATTTATGTAATATTAAAAAACGTATAAAGCACAAAGGCTTCATAATTTATAAAGGTAACGTTAACTGACTGGTATCATGTTAACCTCAGACCTTATTTTCTACGTTTATCACAAAACCCGATTCATTCTCCATTATTTAATTTCCCCCATAAAACTATGTCTGAAAGAACCAGAGGTAAGTCATTATCGGTTTTTAGGACTACAAGCTGGCGAACTCTATAACATCATAGATAGCAACTCTTTGGACAGTGTACCTGCTGTCTAACGTTAATCCTATTTTACTAACAAATGTAATAAACAACCAAATGCGTTGTTTGTTAAATGTTGCTAAATACTGTGGCGGCTAGTTAACTAAGTAGCTGTAAGATGATAAGATAAGATGATATTGATAGCCAGTATGGGTGAATGTGCATGGAGTAGAGTTGAGTAGGCAGCCATCACTTAACCTGGATAGTGTCTGATGATGTCCTCTGTGTGTGTTGTCCTGATGCAGCAAGACCAGGGAGTGTATCAGAGCAAGGTACGGGACATGATCAGCGAGAACAAGAACCGACTCATCGTGAACATCAACGACCTGTAGACGACGCAACGAGGCGTGGTCCTCTGTAGCTCAGCTGGTAGAGCACGGCGCTTGTAACGCCAAGGTAGTGGGTTCGATCCCCGGGACCACCCATACACAAAGAATAAAATAAAAATATATGCACGCATGACTGTAAGTCGCTTTGGATAAAAGCGTCTGCCAAATGGCATATTATTATTATTAGGTATAAAACACACTGAAGCGGTGTTACCATTAGCTCTGCGACTGACTGTGTTTAGTGTCTCACCTCTAGTTGAGTGGTCCACAATGTGGTCTTTAAAAAATGTTATTTAGTTGTTGTGCTGTTAACTATTGTCATTGTGGAGTGACACTTTAATACATATTGATAACAGTAACTACACTTTAATACATATTGATAACAGTAACTACACTTTAATACATATTGATAACAGTAACTACACTTTAATACATTTTGCTAACAGTAACAACGCTGCATTTACACACTTTAGTGTTGCATAGCTATACACAAGCGTGTACAATGCAGTCTCTCTACCCATTTAAATAATGTGCATTCCAATTGTGCATTGACATATATATATATATATATATATATAAGGGATATCTATTATATGTGGTGTTAAGTTGATTACATTACACAGCTATGATATGTCCAACATAATGTCATAATGCTATGTATGCATTTGAACTGAGACTTTGTCCGATTTTTGGTAACGTTCATGTCTAAGGATGTAATGTATGTCATGTAATGCAATTGTACTGTAACGCCTTCAACACTGTCCTCTCTCCCCGGCATGATGACAGGCTGCTACTTTATATTACAGCCGATTAGATCATACTATTTCATTTTTATATTAAACTGAGGCTGTGTGTTCTCGTCCCCAGGTTGATGACTAATGCGTTTGAGGAGCTGCTTGCGTTCCGGCGTGCTCTGAAGGACCCGGTGGCGTCTGTAGACGCTATGTACGCCAAGCAGTACGAGGAGTTCTTCGTTGGTCTGGAGGGAAGCTTTGGGAACAAACACTAATGCGTTTGAGGAGCTGCTTGCGTTCCGGCGTGCTCTGAAGGACCTGGTGGCGTCTGTAGACGCTACGTACGCCAAGCAGTACGAGGACTTCTTCGTTGGTCTGGAGGGAAGCTTTGGGAACAAACACGTCTCCCCCCCCCGAACCCTCACCTCTCGTCTACTGGGCAGCATGGTCTGTGTGGAGGTTCATCGTCACCAAGTGTGAGTGTCTGGAAAACTAGGTTGTGGGATGTCTCCTTCCCTAAAAGGTGTTTACATTAGGGATGTGACAAATGGAAGAAAAATAAATAAGATTTGGTTTTCCATTAAAACGCATAAAATTCCACTTGAATTTACAATGCAGCTGCCAGCAACGGTTTGGGTCTCACGGTGCGTCCCCTTTCAGGGGGTGAAGCATTGTAAAGCATTGCACCTGTCCTACCATTACCGTACCTCAATTCCACCGAACCATCACACACACTCACCACCTCTCTCCTTCTCTCCTTCTCTCTCTCTCTCTCTCTCTCTCTCTCTCTCTCTCTCTCTCTCTCTCTCTCTCTCTCTCTCTCTCTCTATCTCTCTCTCTCTCTCTCTCCATCCCTCTCTCTAGGATGAGGAAAACAACCCGTTGGAGACAGAGTTTGGTCTGTCCATCTACAAGGACCACCAGACGATCACGGTCCAGGAGATGCCAGAGAAGGCTCCTGCCGGTCAGCTTCCCCGCTCGGTGGACATCATACTGGACAATGATCTGGTGGACGTGGTAAAGCCAGGAGACCGGGTCCAGGTGATCGGGACCTACCTCTGGCACCTTCAGGCAAGGACAGAAGTACTGAACATCTTTCAGAGCTGAAATGCACTTGGTTTTACGAAACACCCTAAAAGTTGACAAAGTGCCGACTAAAAATACAAACTTCACACGAACACTATTACTGGACTTGCATTATTACGTGACGTTATTTCGTGACGCTAATACGTGACGTTATTACGTGACGCTAATACGTGACGTTAATTCGTGACGTTATTATGTGACGTTATTTCGTGTGCCATTTTCATGGTTTCTGTCAGTAAGTTATGTGTTCTTCCTGTATCCTCCAGGACCATCACGATAGCCTGTCAGGTGAAACAGATGCGTAAAGAGCTGTCTCCATACCGTCTCAGCTGACGACGTCTCCAAGATCAAACTCTTCAGCAAGTCAAAGATGGTAAAGACCTGTACTGCCCCTCTAGCTATCGCTATGGAAACATCTCAATAGTCTAAAAGAAGCTATGGATACATCTCAATAGTCTAAAAGCAGCTATGGATACATCTCAATAGTCTAAAAGCAGCTTCCTCTTGTCTACCCCTGTCCTTCTTCAGAGAAGATAGGATATTCTCTCTGTTCACAATCACTCTACATATCACCTTGCCTTGCTCTAGCCCAGGGTTCTTCAATTCCCGGGCCTGGAGGGCCCCAAAACACCTGTTTTCATCCTCTCCTTCTAATAAAGGGGCAATTTAGACCTGGGACACCAGGTGAGTGCAATTAACTAAGTAAAATAAAAAAAAAAAGGTTGGTTCCCGGGCCCTTAAGACCGGTTAACCTTCTCTAAACCATCTCTCCCACCCATTTTTGCCTCCTGTCTCCCCCAGATGTGTTTGACCAGGTTCCTCCTCTCTCCCCAGGATGTGTTTGACCCAGCTGTTCCTCCTGTCTCCCCAGCGAGGGTTTGACCAGCGTTCTCCTGTCTCCCCCATGGAGTGTTGAACGCTGTTCCTCCTGTCTCCCCCAGGATGTGTTTGACCAGCTGTTCCTCCTGTCTCCCCCAGGATGTGTTTGACCAGCTGTCCCACTCCCTAGCCCCCAGTATCCACGGTCATGGATACGTTAAGAAGGCCGTCCTGTGTATGTTGCTGGGAGGAGTGGAGAAGGTGCTGGAGAATGGATCTCGCGTCAGAGGAGACATCAATGTACTGCTCATAGGTACTGAGACTACATTATAATAATATGCCATTTTAGCAGACGCTTTTATCCAAAGCGACTTACAGTCATGTGCGCATACATTTTTACGTATATGGGTGGTCCCGGGGATCGAACACACTACCCTGGCGTTACAAGCGCCATACATCTTTCTCGCTCTCTTTCACCTACTGTACCTCGTCAAGCGTATGAAACAGTGGCTTTATGACCAAGCCTAAGATTTGGGAATGATCTCTCACGTCAAGACTTAACATGCATTTTCAAATGTGTACACTTTCGGCCCCTCAATCGATTTGGTTTGCTGCCTAGCTTATGAAACATTTGGTTCTGGGTTACGCGATTAGTTTGGGAATAATTGAAGGTGTTAGTGAGCGGTCTGTGTTAAGTGTTACAGCATAGAGCTGTATCCCATGTAAGACTGACCTCTCTCCCTCCTACTAGGTGACCCGTCGGTGGCTAAGGCCCAGCTGCTGCGTTATGTCCTGCACACGGCGCCCCGAGCCATCCCTACCACCGGCCGGGGGTCATCTGGGGTCGGCCTGACCGCTGCTGTCACTACTGACCAGGAGACTGGTAAAGACACACGCTTACAAGTTAAAGTTTTACTGAAAGAGAAAAATCATAGCTGACACAATGGTGTCATGAATGATCATAAAACATAAAACAATCATCAAGTCAATTAACTGAATCAATCACACAGACAATGAAATAATGCTATGCATTAAATAACTGAATTAACCAAAATGACTCACTGAGCCCAATACTATATAGATATATAATATTTAAACTTAATATCGATTCTAATAAATCTCTATATTATACTCAATACTCTCGCTTCTCACCCCATATCTAGTTAGCAGACTCTCTGCGTCTGAAGGAGAGTCGGTAGATGCTAACCTACTAGATGAGTATCCAAAGAGTCTAGATCGATCGATTATCGCTACTCGCTGCTCGCGAGCTCTATATATATGCTGATATCTCTTCTCTCGTCTCTCCTCTCCTTCTCTCGACTCTATTCGCCTTACTCTCTGCTTCTCCTCCCATCTCTCTCTCACTCTTTCTCTCTCCCTACTCTCTGGTTCTCCTTATCAGGTGAGTGCCGTCTGGAAGCAGGTGCAATGGTTTTGGGGGACAGGGGTGTGGTCTGTATTGATGAGTTTGACAAGATGTCCGACATGGACCGTACAGCCATCCACGAAGTGATGGAGCAGGGCCGTGTCACCATCGCTAAGGCGGGTATCCATGCCAGGCTCAACGCCCGCTGCTCCATGCTGGCAGCTGCCAACCCAGTCTATGGCTGGGTGGGTTTATAGTTCTGAACTCCACAGAACGGCTTCCCATTGATTTTGTCTGAAAGACTCCAGGAACACTTTGGAATAAAACATACATAAAATGAACAGTAAAATGAACCTATCCTTCTTTTAAAAGAGCTTCCCATCTCCTCATGTTAGTACAGGATTCACTTTGGCCTTAGAGACTTGGAGAAGATGTGCTCTACCACACAATGAGCCGTGTACTTGTCCAAGGCTTGCTTACTTACCCACTTCTACCAAATAACCTGACTTTCCTCTGTCTAGTGTAAGATTATTATTATTTAAAGAATGAAAGTAGCTTTCTCCCTCTCCTCAGTTTGACCAGACTCCTGTAGAGAACATTGGTCTGCAGGACTCTGCTGTCTCCTCTCTGTCGTTCTCCCGAATTGGCGCAGTGGTCTAAGGCACCGCATCGCAGTGCTAGCTGTGCCACTAGAGATCCTGGTTTGAATCCAGGCTCTGTCGTAGCCGGCTGCGACCGGGAGACATATGGGGGGTGCACAATTGGCCCAGCGTCGTCCAGGGTAGGGGAGGGAATGGCCGGGCAGGGATGTGAGCTCGTTGAGCGCACATGGTTTTGCAAAGCCAGGCGTTTGTGGGTTTAGATTCCCACGGGGGGCCAGTATTGAAAAATAATTTAAAAAAAGATGTATGCACTAACTAACTGTAAGTCGCTCTGAATAAGAGCATCTGCTAAATGATAAAATGGAAATTGTAGAAGAGTATAAATATCCAATCTGGCATCCATTTTCCACCCCTCTCTCTCCTACCACTTCCTCCTCTTGAAAATATCGCGTGACGAAGATCGAAGAAAGAGAGAGAGAAAGACGAAGAGAGAGAAAGTACGCAAGATCGTCGAAAAATAAGATGCCCATATATCTTCCCCTCTCTCCTCTATCTCTCTTACAGAACAATTGTATCACGAGTAGCAATAAGATGCTCTTTTCTAACTGATAACGGAGACCTCATATTATAAAGCCTCTCTCCTATTCTCTCTCTCCAGTTATGATCAGTATAATACTCCTTGGAGACACATTGGTTGCAGAGGAACAGAACTACTCCGCTTTGTGTCTAGTTATTTTTGACCTGCTGTGTGGTCATTGATGTCTTTGTTCATCATCTTGGACCAGATCGGAGATAGATGGATTGCACAGAGCAGGAAGGGAAGGACCAGAGAGACTAGACCACGTCCTAAGGAATGCACCGATACAGAGACCCCCTGAGAACAAAGACGGGACAGACAGGTTTAAAAGGTTAACACTCTGAAAAACCACCAGGGGGGCAGGACAGGAGAAAAAGAGATATAGGGGGGTTTTCTCTGCCATGTAAGTGGATACACCAGTCCCTGAGGGCTACTGGTTGTGCAGGCCTGATTCAACCTGATTCATCAACTACTTATCAAGGCTTTTATTATCTGAATCAGATGTTTTAGTGCTTGGCTTTAACAAAGGCCTCTGAATACCCTGTGGGGAAGGGTGCCACAGGCGGCGTCGAGGGAAAGGGGACCAGGAGTGGTCGGGGAAGGCCAAGGTGGGTAGGGAAGGGGGGGGGCCACCAAGGAAGAGGGAAGGGGCACCAGGGGGTCGGGGGGGAGGGGCCCAGGTGGGTCGGGGAAGGGGCCCAGGTGGGTCGGGGAAGGGGCCCAGGAGGGTCGGGGAGGGGAAGGGGGCAAGGTTGAGTCGGGGGAAGGAAGGGCCCAGGGGGGTCGGGGGGGAGGGAAGGGGCCCATGGAGCGCGGAGGAAGTATTTCATTTTGTTACAAATTATTTCATTCTAAACAGTCAGTCTTAAAATTGGTCACACAAGCTCATACCCAACATCTATATTTGGGCATATTTATTTAAGAAGAGGGTTTTATCAATACATGTTTAACTTGTTCTTTGTTCTTGATATGTTTTAACACTGCTCAACCCTTATGGTGGCTGACTGCTCAACCCTTATGGTGGATGACCCTCTCTGCTCAAACCATTATGGTGGCTGAATGTCAACCCTAATGGTGGCTAAACCTGCTCACAACCCTTATGGTGGCGAATGCTCAACCCTTATGGTGGGTCACTGCTTCAACTGATGGTGGTGGTGGTGGGTACGCTCAAACCTAATGGTGTGGTGGCTCACCGCTGCTCAACCCTTATGGTGGCTGAATCTGCTAAAACCCTTATGTTTGGCTCAATGCTCAACCCTCTAATGGTGGCGAATGCTCAACCCCTGATGGTGGCTGACTGCTCAACCCTTATGGTGGTCTTGACTGCTCAACCCTTTATGGTTTTTGGCTCTTATTGTGGCTCACTGCTAACCCTAAGGTGGGTTGGTTGGGTCACTGATTGCTCAACCCTTATGGTGGCCTTTGGCTGCTTTGAATGCTGACTGAACCCTTATGGTGGATGAACATTGACCTGCTCAAAACCCTTATGGTGGTGGCTGACTGCCTCAACCCTTAATGGTTGGAGCCACTGCTAAACCTAATGCGTGGATCCATGCTCAACCCTTTATGGTGGCTGGACTGTTCAACCCTTATGGTGGCTGAATGTTCAACCTATTATGGGTGGGGGTCACTGCTCAACCCTAATGGTGGCCTCACTCGCTCAACCGTTTTATGGGGGATTTGACTGCTCAACCCTTATGGTTTGGCTCACGCGATTAAACCTTATGGTGGCTGTGACTGCTCAAACCTTATGGGGGGTCATGATCAACCCTTATGGTGGCTTCACTGCTCAACTTTATGTGGGCTGACTGCCTAAAAAACCCATGGTGGGTTCTTACTGCTCAAACCCTTATGGGGGGTCATGCTCAACCATTATGGGGGCTGACGGCTCAAAAACCCTTATGGTGGGTCAATGCTCAACCTTATTGGTGGGTCACTGCTCAAACCCTTATGTGGTGGGTCACTGCTCAAACTAATGGTGGCCATGCTCAACACTTATGGTGGCTGGAAGGCTCAAACCCTTATGGGTGGCCTCACTGCTCAACCCTAATGGTGGCTCACTGCTCAACCCTTATGGTGGCTGACTGCTCAACCCTTATGGGGGTCACTGCTCAACCCTTATGGTGGGTCACTGCTCAACCCTTATGGTGGGTCACTGCTCAACCCTTATGGTGGGTCCTGACTCTACCCTTATGGTGGCTGACCATGCTAAAACTCTTCTGGTGGGGGCTTTTCTGACTGCTCAACCCTTATGGTGGGTCACTGCTCAACCCTTATGGTGGGTCACTGCTCAACCCTTATGGTGGCTGACTGCTCAACCCTAATGGTGGCTCACTGCTCAACCCTTATGGTGGCTGACTGCTCAACCCTTATGGTGGGTCACTGCTCAACCCTTATGGTGGGTCACTGTCTACCCTTATGTTGGCTGACTGCTCAACCCTTATGGTGGGTCACTGCTCAACCCTTATGGTGGGTCACTGCTCAACCCTAATGGTGGCTCACTGCTCAACCCTTATGGTGGCTGACTGCTCAACCCTTATGGTGGCTCACTGCTCAACCCTAATGGTGGCGACTGCTCAACCCTTATGGTGGATGACTGCTCAAAAAAAAAAACCCCCCCCCCTCCCCCTTATGGTGCTGACTGCTAAAACCTTATGGTTGGCTCACTAGCTCAACCCTAATGTGGGGGCACTGCTCAACCATTATGTGGCTGACGGATGCTGACCCTATGGTGGCTGGATGCTCAACCCTTATGGGGCTGATCTGCTCAACCCTAATGGGGCTTCACTGCTCAACCTAATGGTGGCTCACTGCTCAACCCTAGTGGATGACGGTTCCACCTTATGGGGCGACTGCTCAACCCTTATGGTTGGGCACTGTCAAACCCTAATGGTGGCTCCACTGCTCAACCGTTATGGTGGCTGACTGCTCAACCCTTATGGTGGCTCACTGCTCAACCCTTATGGTGGCTGACTGCTCAACCCTTATGGTGGGTCACTGCTCAACCCTTATGGTGGCTCACTGCTCAACCCTTATGGTGGCTGACTGCTCAACCCTTTTATGTGGGTTCTACTGCCTCAAACCCTTTGGGGGGGTCACTGCTCAACCCTGATGGGTGGCTGACTGCTACCCCTTATGGTTGGGTTCACTGCTCACACCCTTATGGTGGGTCACTGCTAAACCCTTATGGTGGGTCACTGCTAAACCCTAATGGTGCTCGCCTCACCCTTATGGTGGCTGAATGCTCAACCCTTATGGTGGACTCACTGCTTCAACCCTATGCGTGGCTCACTGCTCAACCTTATGGGGGCTGACTGCTCAACCCTTATGGGGGTCACTGCTCAACCTTATGGTGGGCACTGCTAAACCTTATGGTGGGTCATGATCAACACTTATGGTGGGTAACTGCTTACCCTATGGGGCTGATCTGCTCAACTCTTATGGTGGCTGAGTGCTAACCCTTATGGTGGGTCACTGCTTCAACCCTTATGGGGTGGGTAACTGCTCAACCAGTATGGTGGCCTGACTGCTAACCCTAATGTGGCTCATGCCTCAACCCTTATGGTGGCTGACTGCTCAACCCTTATGGTGGGTCACTGCTCAACCCTTATGGTGGGTCACTGCTCTACCCTTATGGTGGCTGACTGCTCAACTCTTATGGGTGGCTGAATGCTAACCCTTATGGTGTGGGGGCAATGCTCAACCCTTATGGTGGGTCACTGCCCAACCCTTATGGGGGCTGAAGTGCCGTCAACCCTAATGGTGATCACTTGATACCTTAGGGTGGACTGACCTGCTTGCTCAACCCTAATGGTGGCTCACTGCTCAAACCTTATGGTGGGTCACTGCTCAACCCTAATGGTGTCTCACTGCTCAACCCTTATGGTGGCTCACTGCTCAACTCTATGGTGGCTGACTGCTCCAACCATACAAATGGTGACTGAATTGATCAACCCTTATGGGGGTTTCCCACCAGCTACTCTTATGGTGGCTGACTGCTCAACCCTAATGGTGACTGACTGCTCAACCCTTATGGTGGGTCACAGCTCAACCCTTATGGTGGGTCACTGCTCAACCCTTATGGTGGGTCACTGCTCAACCCTTATGGTGGCTGACTGCTCAACCCTTATGGTGGGTCACGAAGCCAAGAGTTTAGGAACCCCCCGCGCTACAGTGAGCTCGAAAATGATACAATGACTATGAGATGAAAGTGCAGACTGACAGCTTTAATTTGAAGGTATTTTCAACCATATCGGGTGAACCGTTTAGAAATTATTAGCACTTTTGTATATAGTTCCCCCCCCCCCCCCCCCATTTAAGAGACCGAAAGTTGTGGGCAAATTAACTTATGTATTAAAGTAGTCAAAAGTTTAGTATTTGGTCCCATATTCCTAGCACGCATCAAACATGTGACTCTACAAACTCGTTGGATGCATTTGCTGTTTGTTTTGGTTGTCTCTAAGATTATCTTGTGTCCAATATGTTTCTAAACACTTCTACATTTAATGTGGATGCTACCACGATTTATGGATAGTCCTGAATGAATCGCGAATAATGATGAGTGAGAAAGTTAGACGCATAAATATCATACCCACAAGACATTGCTAACCCTTGTGATTGTTAATGTCATGGGTTTCACAATCCAAAGTGCGGAAGTACAGAGCCAAACCACCAAAATGTGTCTCTTCGTCCAATACTCTGAGCTCACGTATCCTACAGTACTTCACTGTGTGTTGTTTTGTAGCCCACGGCCTGTGGGGATCAGTAGTAGACATCCTTGCACGGAGAGGACCTGAATCAGTTAAGGAGGAGCCAGGGGAACTTGCAGGTGCTACGAGAACACAACAACCTGCCCGCAAGGGCATATTAAGAGACGAGGTAGGGAGCCGCTTCTTTATCTGTCTCTGTCGTTTAGATAGAGGAGGGAGAGGGAGAGGGAGAGAGAGAGAGGGAGAGGGTAGAGAAGAGAGAGAGAGAGGTATGGCACAGACAGGGTAGGTATGTTGGGAGAGAGCAGTGGAAGATTGATAGAGAAGAAGAGACAAGGAGTAGGGAGATAGTTATAGATGTAGAGGTAGATATATGATATATAGATAGAATATCTATGTCTTATATATTATCTATGGTCTGGTTGTGTGGTATATATCTAATTATAACTCATATATATAGATCTATATATATATATGGTATATATATATATAGGTATATATATATATCATGTTATCTATATATATATATGATTATAGTATATATATATATAGATATGGATATGTCTATATATATATAAATATAATATATATATATATATACTATATGGATCGATATATATATATGTCTGTATATATATCTAACATAAATATCATATAATAATATACTGTATATTATAATATATGGATAATATAATATATATCGTATATATATATCTTATATATGTTATAATATATATCGGTATATCTATCTCTATTATCTTATATATGTATATCTATATCTATGGCTAGGTAAATCTATATATCAAAATATATATATTTATATAGCTATGTATATATATATCATATTAGATATATATATGATAATATAGTATATATATATGTCTTATATAGATATTAGTGTATAGTCATCTTATAAATCTATTATATAATATATATAATATATATTCTCTTGATAAATTGTCTATATATATGATCATATCGTTTATTGTATATATATCTAACTATTCTAATATCTCTGCATATAGGATATCTATCTCTATGATATGTATATGTATATTATATATATTATATATATATTTTGTAGTTATCAGATATATATAGGTCATATATATGTATATCTAGTATATCTATCTCTAGATATCTCTATCATATCTATGTAGAACTATATATATATGTAGTTTATATAGCTTAAATATAGATATCATATATATAGTATTATATTCTATATGTACTCTCTATTAGAGGTATTATATATATCTATATATATTATATATCTATCTCCTCTATCTACTCTCTATATGGATCAGCTCTTATAGGTATATATATCACCCCGTAGTATTGGAGGTGAGTAGATATATATACCTCTATATCTAGATGTATGGTCGATATATATAACTATCATATATTAGAATATATAATATAATCTATCTATATATATAGCTATATAGATATAGGATATAGATCACGACTCTATATCTATCTATCTCTGTATCTCTATCTATATATATATAGCTATATATATCTATACTCTATCTTATGTTATATATATATCTCTACTATCTATGTATATATATTCTAAGAATATAGATATATATATATATCGAGGTATCTAGACATATATATATCTATATGTCTCTATCGCTATATCTATCTCTCATATATCTCTATCTCTCGCCTCTCTCTCTATCTCTCTGTTCTCTCTATCTCTCTCTCTATCTCTCTTCTCTATCTATCTTCTTGTATATATATATATAATCCTATATCTATCTATGTCGCTACTCTCTCTCTGTATCTCTGGTCTCTCTGTCTCTCTCTCTCTCTCTCTGTCTATCTGTCTCTTCTTCTCTCTCTCTCTCTCTCTCTCTCTCTCTCTCTCTCTCTCTCTCTCTCTATCTCTCCTCTCTTCTGTTGCATCTCTCTGTTTCTCTCTCTCTCTGTTGTCTATATCTCGTTTATCTCTCTATTGTTTATATCTCTGTCTCTCTGTCTCTCATATATCTATCTATGTTATCTCTCTCTATATCTGTTTATATCTCTGTTTCTCTATCATCTATCATCTCTCTCTCTCTCTCTGTTCTTCTCTGTTTTATATATATCTGTCTTGTCTCTCTCTCTCTGTTTCTCTCTCTCTCTCTCTCTCTCCTCTCTCTATATCTCTCTGTCTCTGTATCTGGCTCTTGTCTCGGTCTCTGTCTCTTGTCTCTCTCTGTCTCTCTGTCTCTCTTCTCTCTGTCTCCTCTCTGTCCTGTCTCTCATCTCTTCTGTTTCTCTCTCTCTCTCTGTCTTGTCCTTATCCCTTTTTTTTTCTGTCTCTGGTCTTATCATTTCTCCTCTCTGTCTCTCTCTCTCTCTCTACCTCTCTCTCTGTCTCTGTTCTCGTCTCTCTCTCTTCTCTCTCTATCGTCGCTGTATCTATCTCTCTGTTCTCTCTCTCTCTGTCTCTGGTTCATCTCTGTATCTCTATGTCTCGTTTCTCTCTCTTGTCTCGCTCTCTGTCTATGTCTCCGTTCTCACTCTATGTCTTGTCTCTATCTCTCCTCTGTTCTATGCTCTGTCTTATGTTCTGTCTCTGTTCTGTCTCTGTATCTGTATATCTCTCTCTCGGTCTCTGTCTCTGTCTCTCGCTCTCTCTATGTGTCGGGGTCTTTTAATCACAGCATGTTGGGGAATTTTCTGTGTTGGCTTCTCTGTACCCGTCTCCATCTACAGGAATGCTTTTGTTGTTTAGAGAGAAGATAGTGAGTAAGGAGTTTATGAGCGAATCAGTTCTCTCACCTATTCTCATCTTTTTCCTCGCTTGTGTCCCCCCCATCCACCCCTCCGTTCCCCCTATATTCTCCCATTCACCCTGACCTGCCTATTCTCCCCCTATCTGCCATCGCTTTGTCCCTCTTCTTCCCCACCCCCTTTCTCTCACCACCTCCTGCTACCTCGTTCTCCCACCACCAGATTACAATTGAAAACATCCGCACCTATCTCCCCCATCTCATCTATCTTCCCACCCCGCGAGTGGTTGTATCTTGTCCTTCATCCTTCCACTCCGTTCGTGCTCAATCTCATATTCCTTCCTTTTCCAGACGCCATCCCCTTACATCGTTCTCATTAGTTCCTGTATTGAACTCTTAACATGTCCCACCCTTATTTCCTCCCTTTCGTCTGGTGATCGACTGGCGACTTCTCAGCCACATACACCTGCTATCCGCTTTGGTCTCCCCTTCTCCGTCACTAACAATCCTCTCATCCCCTACGCACTTTGTGGGTCCTTCCTTCCTTCTTTTCTCTCCACCCTCCTCCCCTAATAATACTTCATCTTGCTCTCAAACCATCTACTTTCCCCTGATCTTTTTCCATATTCTCCCTATTATCCGATCTCACCTATCCCCCTCACCCTCCCTCTTCCCCTTCTACCCCCTTTCCTCCCGTACTATCTACCACTCCCCACCCCCTTCTATTCCTTCCTCCTCACTATTACCCTCTATTTTCTTTTCTTATACTCTCCCTCCCTTTGTTCTATCGTCCGTTTCATCTACATCCCCCATCCTTTCTCCATCCCCCTATCCTCCACTCTCTCCCCTTTTTTCAGCCACTAACCCCCCTTGTATCTTCCACATTTTTTTCTTCCCGTGCCACTTTCTTCCCCCCCAATCCCCCCCCTCCATCCCTTTCCCCTCCTTTTCTTTTGCCCTTTCCTAAACCTCGACCTCGCCCTCAGTCCCTGGTTAAACTCCTTTCAGTATCGTCACCTTTTCCCCGCCGACTCCCCTCTCTCATTACCCTCCTCTCCCCCTTCTGCATTCCCCCCTCGTCCAATCTACCTCACCCTCCCCCCTATCCATAAATTTCTCCATCCATCCTCACACATTTTTATCTTCCTCTCACTACCCCTCTTTCCCGCCCGATCCCCTCCTCGTCTTCCCCATCTTCTCTACTCTCATCTCTCAGATTATTTTTCCTAACCCATCTTCCACTTAGGCTTTCCCATCTCTTCTCCCTGCATCTCTTTTCCCAACATCTCCCTTTTTTCAACCCCTCTCTCAGTATGACTGTTTCCCCCTCTCCTCATCCCGCATCCGCTTTCCTTTCTTTCCTTACCCCTACTTATCCTAACCTCTCCCAGCAGTACATACACATCGCCAAGGTGTTGACCCCTACGTTGACCCAGGAAGCAGCCAATCACATTGCAGAAGAATACTCCAGGCTGAGAAGCCAGGAACAGCTGGGCTCTGACATCGCCAGGGTGAGTCGTTTAGACACACACCATTAGACGGCATTTACACAGGCAGCCCAATTCTGATCTTTTGAGCAATTATTCAAAAGACCAATTAGTGGCAAAAGATCAGAATTGGTCTGTCTGACTGACTGTGTAAATATATTTTCTTAGTCGTAAATCCACCCTGACCCCTACACACACACACCCTGACCCGTCCCATTGTTCTGTATATTCCGTCCCATGGTTCTGTAGGTTCCGTCCCATGGTTCTGTAGGTTCCGTCCCATGGTTCTGTAGGTTCCGTCCCATGGTTCTGTAGGTTCCGTCCCATGGTTCTATAGGTTCCGTCCCATTGTTCTGTATATTCCGTCCCATTCTGTATATTCCGTCCCATGGTTCTGTAGGTTCCGTCCCATGGTTCTGTAGGTTCCGTCCCATGGTTCTATAGGTTCCGTCCCATTGTTCTGTATATTCCGTCCCATTCTGTATATTCCGTCCCATGGTTCTGTAGGTTCTGGAGAAGGAGAAGAAGAGGGGGAGGAAGGAGCAGGACTCTGGCTCTGAGGAGGATGAGGAGACGACACAGTGTACCCCTCGCTCAGAGAAGAAGAGGTACGGCATTAGACACCAGCCTTCTCACACCCCCATAATCACACCTCGCCTGCACTGATATAAAGCAGTGGTTCTCCACCCTCTCCTCGGGGAACCCCAGGCCTTCCATTTATTCCAAGTATATCTATTCCACAGCTAGCACCTGATTCAACTGGTCAGCTAATCATCAAGCCCTTGACTAGATGGTTCAGGGCTACAAACAACGTGGTGAAACATCTGGGGGTCCCCCGAAGAGAGGTTTGAAAACCACTGTTATAGAGGCCATTAACTAGCTAGTGAAATAGTTCTCTCTTCTAACAGATATTTAATCTTTGACGCAAACCTGTATGAATATTGGTTAAAACAGTATAGTAGCTTTGTTTACATGTTGTCTAACCTGTGCTCTCTGCAATTCTGTGTTTGTAGGAGTCGCAGTGGTTCCCAGAGCGGCGAGGCTTACGACCCGTATGACTTCTTGTGAGAGAAGGACATCCCTGAGAGTAAGAACAAAAGTTTTAACACCCTAATCTCAACCCGGAGATTATTACTTCTGCTACTGTCTTCACTGTCCCAGGGGGATATGGGGTTCGCAAGCTACTGTCTTCACTGTCCCAGGGGGATATGGGGTTCGCAAGCTACTGTCTTCACTGTCCCAGGGGGATATGGGGTTCGCAAGCTACTGTCTTCACTGTCCCAGGGGGATATGGGGTTCGCAAGCTACTGTCTTCACTGTCCCAGGGGGATATGGGGTTCGCAAGCTACTGTCTTCACTGTCCCAGGGGGATATGGGGTTCGCAAGCTACTGTCTTCACTGTCCCAGGGGGATATGGGGTTCGCAAGCGTCACAAATTAGTGGTGCGTGGGTCAGCTGTTTGTTCACCCGCACCCGCACCCAATAGCTAATAACCCATCCACAACCGACCGATTTTATATGTGATGAAGTGAAAATCCGAGGCCTGAACCTGACCCGCTAATATAGAAAATCCACTGTAGGCTACAGTTAATGACGGCGTAATTATTTATGTTGTTATAGGGCAGCAGGTAGCTTAGTGGGTAAGGGCGTTGTGCCAGTAACCGAAAGGTCGCTGGTTCTAATCCCCGAGCCGACTAGGTGAAAAATCTGTTGACGTGCCCTTAAGCAAGGCACTTAACCCTAATTGCTCCTGTAAGTTGCTCTGGATAAGAGTGTCTGCTAATGTAAATGTTGTTGTTGCCTGATTATAGATGTGTTTCTGCTTATACTGTAATTTCCGATCTTTTGGAAGGCTACTTGTTAGTAAACTTGTCTATAATTAGATGCATGTAATTTATCTTCTTCGTTATATGTTTCCCCAGGAGACTAAATAAACCCTTGAATGCTTCAATCTAGTTTACATCTGTAAAGTGTTCTGTCGTCTTCTTTCGCGGATCAAAGACGTTTAGGGACTGGGGAGAAAATGCAAAAAAAAATCTATCTTTTCTTTAAAAACATTTCCAAATGACATCATTTTGACTGGTTGTAAGGAAATTCAAAGCTGTGAAAACGACCCAAACATGTTTGCGATAAGATTTCAGTTCGGCTTAAATGCAGATTTTTATGGGGTTGAAAAATCTGCTTTTATTATGCTGATAAAGATGGCTTATCTAACTGAGCGTTCTCTCAAGAGAATGATACAAACAAAAAAAAAAAAGCCTACATTTGGTGTATAATTTTACTGCAAGAAATGCTTAATTCTGCAGGAGTTAACATTAAGGCTATGTGCGAGATTATAGACCTACAGTCAGTGTCCAGATTTCAGTTTCCATTTAACCCATCTGAACAGTAGGCTACAGTTCCCCTGAACTTCCCTATTTGATGTCCCCCGTCTTGTGACTGTCGAATTCATATATAGCGCCTCACAATCATCACGCATAACGTAGCCGGCACTGCTATCATCCTCTTTTACCACGTCACCAAATCTTTCCCAAACATTATCCGTCTGGCCCTCCCCTTCTCTCTACTCTCAGCTCTCCATTTCGCAGCTTTTCTCTTATTGAATTAAACATTGTCCTTTTTTTTTTGCCTCAGTGGATCGACGTTAACTTTTTCTGCCTGTTCCCAAAAGCATTTGGTGTTTAGGCTATTTGGCACAGAGTACAGTTAACGCCAGATGACCTACAAATAATAAATGGAAAAACCACCTCACTGTAGCCTATAGAGATAAATTGGGCAAGAATTATACATTTATGGATTTTATTTTTATTTTAAAGGTGTTATTTTCTCTTTATTCAATATTTAATTACCCTAAACCCGTCCGCCCCCGGGGACTGTGGGTTATGAGTCAACCCCGCGCATCACTGTGAAACATAAACACAACACGAAAGTCACACACAGCGAAACGACATGTGGTGGTGGACCAAGGTGCCACAGCAGATGAAGTGATAAAAAGTTAGCCTGGACCCAGACTAATGGTGGATTTACATGTCTCTTCAACATCAGATTCGCCACTTTTCTGTTTACACTAGCCTTGGATATGGTGTAACCAAAGCCACATTCCTGCTTCACATGTGCAGGCAGATATTAGCGTACCGTAAATACCATAGTATATAGACAAACATACCATAAATACCATAGTATATAGACAGACAAAATAAAGATAGCAATTCAAACTATACAGTAGCTTCTCATCTAAACTATATTGCACATAGTGTTGCACACTTGATTAATGCAATGATTCACAAATGTGTGGATATTTTAAAAGCCTTGAATTAAATAAAAAAAATATGCTGTCTACTGGTAATTCTTGCAAGGACATATGGTGAGGGAGAGCTGTTCTCTTTACCACTCAGAGGGGGGGGTATGGGAGACCTCCAGACGTAGTGTGGGAGACATTTACATTTTAGCAGACGCTCTTATCCAGAGCGACTTACAGGAGCAATTAGGGTTAAGCGCCTTGCTCAAGGGCACATCAACAGATTTTTCACCTCGTCAGCTCGGGGGATTAGAACCAGCGACCTTTCGGTTACTGGCACAACACTCTTACCCACTGAGCTACCTGCCGCCCTCTTAAAGACATATTTGAATCTAGATCCGTCTCTTTACACTACATAAGTATCTATCCTGGACCTAGTTTGTCTTCAAAGGCTAATTAAAAGGAGCATTGTGTAACACCACACTGGCCGCTCCCATTCTTAGCTGCAGGATGCGATTGGTCTGACCCAGAGCCTTGTATGTAGAGTGTAAGGCTTCTACGTTATGATTCATTTACGTTCTACGGCAGCCATGTTAGCGTCCCCATTAACACTGCATGTGGGATATTTAAACAATGCTATGTAACTGAATGTCCAGAATTAAAACAACGTTTGAAATTCTAAAAGTTGGCCGAACTCTTTAAATACATGATGGCCCTGGTCTGACGATGAACTCTCTGTTTGCCCCTCCCTCCCAAAGTCCAGGCTGGCAAGCCCAAACCGGCCGAGGCAGAGGAGCCTATGGATGCCCCTGTCCCACCGAGCCAGGACGGCCAGACTGACGGACAGACAGAGGTGTCTGCAGACAGGTGGGTGGCAGTCGTACTGTATAGGTGACAGCAAAATGGCGGACTAGGTACCGGTGCTCTCAGATCTGTAGCTAAAATGGAACCATAGTCCAACATGAATTAATGTATTCTGAACAAAAATATAAACGCAAATATGTAAAGCGTTGGTCCCATGTTTCATGAGCTGAAATAAAAGATCCCAGAAGTGTTCCATTTGCACAAAAAGCTTATTTCTCTCAAATGTTGTGCACAAATATGTTTACATTCCTGTTAGTGAGCATTTCTCCTTTGCCAAGATAATCCAACCACCTGACATGTGTGGCATATCAAGGAGGTGATTTAAACAGCATGATCAATACACAGGTGCACCTTGTACTGGGGACAATAAAAGGCCACTCTAAAATGTGCAGTTTTGGCTGAGTAAATGCAGCCTTTTAAGGTCTGTTTTTATGTACCATACATAGATTTGATTGACCGATTCATTAATTAATTTTTCTCTCTCTCCCGGTGTTCTCCAGACTGAAGGAGTTTAAGTCCTCCCTCCTGGAGGTGTTCTGTTCTGCACATGCTCAGTCCGTTGGTATGAACTCTGGTGGAGAGTGTCAACAAGGTCCGGGACGCCCCCTTCACCCTGACAGAGGTCCGGGCCGCCCTCGCTCGCATGCAGGACGACAACCAGATCATGGTGGCTGACAACATCATCTTCCTCATCTAAAGACCAAGGAAAATACATCTTCCTCATCTTAGACCGAAGTAAGAAGAGGTGGAGGAAGAGGACAGAAGGAGAAGCAAGAGTCTGAATGGAGAGATGTTTCCCATTTGAGACCAAGAAGGATGAGAAGGAATTCAGAAAAATTATCAAAGTGGATTTTTGACTGGTTCTTCTGGGTTCTGGGTTCACTCGCTTCTTCCAGTTTGCCTTTTGGCAATAACCGCTTATGGACAAAAAAAGGAGGTGAAAGATGATGGGTTTTATGTTTTAATGTCGTAGGTTAATTCTTGGATCAGTTTCACTTAAGTTTTAGTTTCTTTGCATTACTTAAGTTTTAGCTACATTTACATTTACATTTACATCATTTAGCAGACAAGGTCTGGTTACAGGCATGAGTTGTGGGCTAGAAGGGCCATTCTCCCTAGAGCAAAGAGCACCTGCGTCATTTTATGCTTTCAGTTTACATTTTTTAATGTTTAAAAATATTACTTTTAAGAAAAATACCTTTCTTGTGTATATACAGTGGGGGAAAGTCAGCCACCAATTGTGCAAGTTCTCCCACTTAAAAAGATGAGAGAGGCCTGTAATTTTCATCATAGGTACACGTCAACTATGACAGACAAAATGAGATTTTTTTTCTCCAGAAAATCACATTGTAGGATTTGTAATGAATTTATTTGCAAATTATGGTGGAAAATAAGTATTTGGTCAATAACAAAAGTTTCTCAATACTTTGTTATATACCCTTTGTTGGCAATGACACAGGTCAAACGTTTTCTGTAAGTCTTCACGAGGTTTTCACACACTGTTGCTGGTATTTTGGCCCATTCCTCCATGCAGATCTCCTCTAGAGCAGTGATGTTTTGGGGCTGTCGCTGGGCAACACAGACTTTCAACTCCCTCCAAAGATTTTCTATGGGGTTGAGATCTGGAGACTGGCTAGGCCACTCCAGGACCTTGAAATGCTTCTTACGAAGCCACTCCTTCGTTGCCCGGGCGGTGTGTTTGGGATCATTGTCATGCTGAAAGACCCAGCCACATTTCATCTTCAATGCCCTTGCTGATGGAAGGAGGTTTTCACTCAAAATCTCATGATACATGGCCCCATTCATTCTTTCCTTTACACGGATCAGTCGTCCTGGTCCCTTTGCAGAAAAACAGCCCCAAAGCATGATTTTTCCACCCCCATGCTTCACAGTAGGTATGGTGTTCTTTGGATGCAACTCAGCATTGTTGTCCTCCAAACATGACGAGTTGAGTTTTTACCAAAAAGTTATATTTTGGTTTCATTTGACCATATGACATTCTCCCAATCCTCTTCTGGATCATCCAAATGCACTCTAGCAAACTTCAGACGGGCCTGGACATGTACTGGCTTAAGCAGGGGGACACGTCTGGCACTGCAGGATTTGAGTCCCTGGCGGCGTAGTGTGTTACTGATGGTAGGCTTTGTTACTTTGGTCGCAGCTCTCTGCAGGTCATTCACTAGGTCCCCCCGTGTGGTTCTGGGATTTTTGCTCACCGTTCTTGTGATCATTTTGACCCCACGGGGTGAGATCTTGCTTGGAGCCCCAGATCGAGGGAGATTATCAGTGGTCTTGTATGTCTTCCATTTCCTAATAATTTGCTCCCACAGTTGATTTCTTCAAACCAAGCTGCTTACCTATTGCAGATTCAGTCTTCCCAGCCTGGTGCAGGTCTACAATTTTGTTTCTGGTGTCCTTTGACAGCTCTTTGGTCTTGGCCATAGTGGAGTTTGGAGTGTGACTGTTTGAGGTTGTGGACAGGTGTCTTTTATACTGATAACAAGTTCAAACAGGTGCCATTAATACAGGTAACGAGTGGAGGACAGAGGAGCCTCTTAAATAAGAAGTTACAGGTCTGTGAGAGCCAGAAATCTTGCTTGTTTGTAGGTGACCAAATACTTATTTTCCACCATAATTTGCAAATAAATTCATTAAAAATCCTACAATGTGATTTTCTGGATTTTTTTCCTCAATTTGTCTGTCATAGTTGACGTGTACCTATGATGAAAATTACAGGCCTCTCTCATCTTTTTAAGTGGGAGAACATGCACAATTGGTGGCTGACTAAATACTTTTTTCCCCACTGTATTGTTTTGTAAAAAAAAAAAAAAAAAAAAACATTTTGTAAAGGTTTATCAACTGTAATAGTGCATGGAGATGGAAAATGTAATTACTTTGATGTTGAACATTGTGATTGCTTGAACATTAACAGCTTGTGCTAGGCTTTCATTTACACACACACACACAGCGAGAACACATCAGGCGATAGTGTGTCCCTTGCGGTCGATGTGAAAATAGAACTGCATTTTATGCAAAGCGAAACCTTTTTGAACATTTTTAAAACAGATGAATAATGCGGTGAGGTGAAGCTGCCTGTGAAATGAGGTTTCACTATGTTGTACAATGGGGAAATCATAAGCTGTGGTTTTGATTGGGCCGATAAGGAACCCCCGTAGCCTCCAGAGCCTAACCTCCATCCCGGCTAGTATCTCGGCTCTCTACACCCACGCCTGAGTCATCTCTCCTGAGCTGCATGCCCCAGCCCACAACCTCTGCTCTCTGTCTAACCCCCAGCCCTTCCATCGACCCAATTCCCAACCCAGCCCACACCCTGCCTCTCCTCGCTTTCCTCCACCTCTGCCTACCAGGCTCTGTCGTAGCCGGCCGCGACCGGGAGACCCATGGGGCGGCGCACAATTGGCCCAGCGTCGTCCAGGGTAGGGGAGGGAATGGCCTGCAGGGATGTAGCTCAGTTGATCGAGCATGGCGTTTGCAACGCCAGGGTTGTGGGTTCGATTCCCTCGGGGGGGCCAGTATGAAAAATTATGTATGCACTCACTAACTGTAAGTCGCTCTGGATAAGAGCGTCTGCTAAATGACGTAAATGTAAATGTACCCATTTACAGGTACCACACCCTGCCTCTCTTCTCTTGCATCCGTGAGTACCTCTGAGAGTACCGTGAGTACCCCTGAGAGTACACCTTTCACATTAGTGTGTCAGGTTACCCTGGGTAACAGTCTGTCTGTGCTAACTTTTCACACCTTGTACTTTGGAATATGACGCAGCATACAAGGAGTGGAGTGACGGCACAAAACAGGTCTGGATTTCAGGCTAGTGTCAAATGTCCACTTTGATGTAAAGAGCTCCCCTATATCGACAAAAACAATACGAACACTACTGTATGTAGCTATGATATGATGAGAAGAGTCCTTGATTTTGAGATAGAAAAGCGTTAGTTTCCTCTGTGTTGTTAGTTATCAGTGTCCTTTCAGCAGTTTCCATCTAACGCAATACTCATCTCAAGCCATAAATCACAGCCAAGCCTTGCAGTGACTCTTTCCACTGACTAGGGGCCAGGGTTAGTTAGGCCCATAGCCATGTGTTTAGAGAGTTGGGGCATTTAGGTTTCTGCATTATGAAGCATTAACATGACACTACAGCATTCTATGGCAGCCATGTTGCCCCCCATTAACATGACCTAACACATTCTATGGCAGCTGTAGCCCCCATTACCTGACACTACAGCATTCTATGGCAGCCATTTTAGCCCCCCTTAACTACACTAACGCATTCTATTGCAGCCATGTTAGCCCCCCCCATTAACATGACATACAGCATTCCTTGGCAGCCATGGTTAGCCCTCCACTTAACATGACAATAAGCATTCTATGGCAGCCATGTTAGCCCCCCCATTAACATGACAATACAACATTCTATGGCAGCCATTGTTAGCCCCTCATTAACATGACACTACAGCATTCTATGGCAGCCATGTTAGCCCCCCATAAACATGACACGTCAATATTTCGTATAGCAGCCCATGTTGCCCCCCATAACATGACCACTACAGCATTCTATGGCGCCATGGTAAGCCCCCCAGAACAGTGACACTCCCAACATTCGATGGCAGCATTGTTGGCCCCCATTCATGACCCAATACAACATTCTACGGCCAGCCATGTAGACCCCCATTAACATGACACTACAGCATTTCTATGGCCAGCAATGTTAGCCCCCCATTCCCCATTAAACATGACACACAGCAGTCTATGGCAGCCCATGTTAGCACCCCATTAACATGACACTACAAACATTCTATGGGCAGCCATGTTAGCCCCCCATTAACATGACAATACAACATTCATGGCAGCCATGTACCCCCCCATTTTAACATGACACTACAGATTCTTATAGCAGCCATGTTAGCCCCCCATTAAATGACAATACAACCTTCTATGGCAGCATGTTAGCCCCCCCCCCATAACATGACACTACAGCATTCTATGGCAGCCATGTTAGCCCCCATTAACATGACACTACAGCTTCTAGGCAGCCATGTTGGGCCCGCACATTAACATGACAATTACAACATTCTATGGCAGCCATGTAGCCCCCCCATTTAACATGACACTAACAGCATTCTATGGCAGCCATGTTAAACCCCCCAGTAACATGACACTACAGCATTCGACGGCAGCCATGTTAGCCCACAGAACATGACACCTACAGCATTCTACGGCAGCCATGTTTAGCCCCCATTAACATGACACTACAGATTCTATGGCAGCCATTGTTAGCCCCCCATTTAACATGGACACTACAACATCTATGGCAGGCCATGTTAGGCGCCATTAACATGACCACACCGCATTCTATGGAAGCCATGTTAGCCCCCCCATTTAAACATGGACACTACAGCATTTATGGCAGCCATGTTAGGCCCCCCATATCTATTAACATGACACTACAACATAATGGCTAGCAAGGTTAGCCCCCCCATTAACATGACATACAGAATTCTATGGCAGCCATGTTGCCCCCCATTAACATGACAATACAAGATTTATGGCAGCCATGTTCATCCCCCCATGATAACATGACACTACAAGCATCTAAGCAGCCATGTAGCCCCATAACAGACAATACAACATGCATATGGCCAGCCATGTTACCCCCCCATAAACATGACACAC